AATGTGTAGCCTCTTGTATCTGTCTTCTTTCACTCGGTACAATATTTTCAAGGTTTATCTGTACTGCAGTGTGCAGCAGTACTTAATTTCTTTTTATAGCTGAATACTATTTCACTATAGGGTTGTATCACATACTGTTAATCCAGTCATCCATTGACAGACATTTGGGTTGTTTCTATATTTTAGGTCCTGTGAATGGTGCTGCTCCGAACATTTGATGCACACGTTTGCTTGAATTATACATTGGGGGAAGTAGTGTGTTTTGTATATTAGAGAAATTTGCCCTTGGCCTGTGACATATGTTCCGAATAGTGCTGCTCAGTTTGTCATTTGCCTTGGACTTTGTTTTTGGTGATTTTTGCCAGGCAGAATTAAAAATATATATATTAGAGAGTTGAGTTGGTCAGGCTTTTCTGGCTTCTGGGTTTTGTGACACAGTAAGGCCAACCTTATCCTTCAGTTTACAAAATAATTCTTCCATCGAAGCTTCCATTTATTCCTCATTTTTAACCAGTAAAATAGAGATTACCAACACTCCTCCTTGCCCCCAGGGTTAGGGTGAGGTTCAGTAAGACAAATGATATGAAAGGGCTTCCATACCACACAGGGCAGTGTATACATAGGTGATACGCTGTCATCATAACTGTTAACTGTATCAAATTCTGGCATGAATTAGCTGAGTTCTATTGCTGCCTTTCTTTTGCAGAACTGAGATTGAAGGCTAGAATTATTCAGAGTTGGCTAAGCATGCATCAGTTGGTAACAATGTGGAAAAATGTCACAAAATTAGTCATCTTGGGTATGTGTGGGGGTGTTCTTATTTGACCAGAAAAATAAAATTGCTTTAAACCAAAAATTATGTTGCTCACTCTTCTTTCAAGTGGAGAAAATAAACCAGTTCAGTGAGTTTTGTATTATGCAGGTGTAATTGTAATTGAAGCTTCACCAATGATCACTTGTGATATGTTTTCCTTATATTTTTAAACCTGCCTCCAATTTTTAAATAGAGTATAGGTTGAACACTGTATTAAAACAAATACAATCATAGAGTGAAAAATATGTTCGTAGTTGGTAGCAACTATTCTTGTGGTGTTTTCTCTGTAATAGGAGTGTGCCCTTGTTCACTCCCCAGCTCTGAGGTCAGTCAGCCGCAGGCTGGAACACAGTGTGGTCACCAGCTGGTTATGTAACCTTGGGCAGATTGCTTTACTCTCTCTGCCTTTGTTTTGCCAACTTTAAAACAAGGATGGTTATGGCGCCTGACCCACTGAGTGGTCACAAGGAGTCAATGATAAAAATCTATATGGAGAGCTTATCTTCTGCCTGTTAGGAAGGAGGGTTTGAAAAACACTAGCTGTCTTTGTGATTCAGGGAGAGCTAAAAGAATTCAGGAAGTGAGACCAAGGGAAATGGGATGTGCTCTTTCCAGGGGGTGTCCTGACCCTTGGGGGGTGACACTGATCAAATCCCAGGGGAGAGCCCTTTCCCTGAGGTGCACCTTGCTTGGGGAGCCTACAACCACAATAGGGTGGACATTGGGAACACCAGCTGGTCCTCATACAGCAGGGATTGAGTGGCTATGGGGCACAGCTGGGTACTGGGCTGAGCTGGGGGAGGGGCAGGCTGGAAGGGAAGAGGCGAGGATAGGTATCAGGGAGCTTGCACAGGCCCCTCGGTTCTCAGGACAGAAGATTTGGGATACAGTGAGAGTACTGTAAATGGTGCTGGATTTTCAGAGGGCAACTCTTTTCCTCTTTCTCCTCTTCCTACTCTGCCCACATGCTGTGGAACCTCAGTTCTGGTCCTCGACCCAGCTTGTTTGGGTCCTAAAGATGAGGCAGTCTGTGGGACTTTTGCACTACAACGGGCGCTTCAAATCCAGGGGCACATCGGACCTATGTGCGCTGTGAGGTCACATCATTTTACAGACGAGGAAGGGTGGGGGTGGGGGTGCCGTGCTACCATATTTCCCTGAAAATAGCTCTGGGTCTTTACTTTTTGTTCCAAAAGATACAATCGAGTTTATTTTCAGGGAATGTGTTATTTTTTCATGATCAAGAATCTGTATTTATTCATACATAAAAATCTAAATTTATTCAAATACAGTCATGTCATCTTCTGGAGCATTGTCATGATTCTCCAAACCTTGAATGATGCCTGAATGTCTTTGATTCCTTTTCGTGTAGAATCATTGGCCCCACTCTCTCACGTCCGGTGATAGAGCTCTCCTTAAATGAACACTTCTTGTCCATGTAGCCTGTGCATAGTGCTTTGACAACACAGCTGTCAGTGTGTTTATCCCATGAATTCTTTACCCAAGCCATGAGCTCTTGTAAGCCGGGCTTCACAAAATTCCCATTAAACCAAGTGTTAATTAAATACCTAGAAGATAGAGCGGCAACAAAAAGGATGGCAGTGAAGAATGATGGTCCACACAAAAGTGACAAAAAATGGCAGGCACCAAAATTCATAAAACGTTTATTTCACACGAGTATACTAAGTATTTCTGTTACAATGCACAACATATTGCATTATGAAGATTCACTTTAGACATCACCCTGTCTGTTCATTATCAAGCACACATTATCTGTGCCTTGCGTCTGTGCTCTGCTTGGCCATTTGGCATAGTCTCGAGTTCATCTGTTTATACAGGCACTCACCTCTCATCCAAAGGCACTGGGTATTTATAATAATTATAATTTATATTATCATTTACTTTAAGTATTAATGTCAATAATATTTACTTATATATTATCATTATCTTATAATTCAATATGTTTACTGTGTGTTGCAATGGATGCATAGTACTGAATGCGTTCGTCTGGCTGACTATCTTAACTGGGGCTTATTTTGGGGTTAGGGCTTATATTGCAAGCTTTCTGAAAAACCGTGCTAGGGTTTATTTTGCAGTTAGGTCTTATTTTCAGGTAAATATGGTGTCATCCACTGCTGGGATATGTACAGTCAGAGTGTGAATCATTCTCCATCCTATCCCCAAATCAAGCTTCTTCCAGTGTTCCCATACTTTGCTTCAGTTTCATATGGCTTTTTGTGACATTTCCATAACTCAGTGCCCCACATGTGAATCTCTTGGAAATGTCTATGAATTTTAAATCGTCATCACCAATAGGGAAGCTAACATTTACTGGGTTCCTGCTATGAGTGGGCATGTTAGCAGGTCATGTCACCTGCTCAAATTCTTATAAGCCCAAAGCTCATGGCAAAGCCAGGCAGGAATCTGATCTGTGACATACCAAGGCACACAGCCTTAACCCTGTTTGCTTTGAGGACCTAGGCCAAGGGCAGGATGCTACCCTTTGAGCATATCTTTCTTGGGTGACGCATGTGGTTTTTTCATGGTAGAGAGCTTGAGCACGCCCTGGGAAAGGTGAGGCAGGACGACGCAGGCTGTGGCAGCTATTTATGGACCCTGTGACCTCCCTCTGCCGGCACAAAGCTATAATAGCTCTCATGATTCACCACCCGGACTTCCCCTTGCTCTAGGCAGATTCTCTGCTTTCCTACCTGTGGGCCTTACTACTTACTACCTGTGGAGCACCCTGGCCCACCACATTCCCTTGCCACACCTACTCATTGGCACCCATTACAGCCACCTCTTCCTGGGGAAGCCCTCGTGAACTGGCATGGAAACTTTTTCATTTCTGAATTGAACCAAATCATGTATTCTGTACCTAGAGAAAGGGAAATGGAAGACTATACCTGTTTTGAGAAATTTGAGAAAATTTTTCCAGTCCCTTGGGGGTCAGCATATATTTGTGACAGCCTTTCTAGGTGAAAGTGCAGTGATCAGCAGCCTGCTCGTGGTCAATTCCATTTTGACCTGTCAAATCTTCTCCTGGAAGTGCCTGCAAAGCGGCTTTGCTCTCCCTCATAGACCGTAGGAGACCTGGAATATTTCCACAGGCGGAACCTGGCATCACACAGCCTAGGCTGGAATGCTGGTGACTTTGGGAAAGTCATTGTCTGTACCCAAGCCTCTGCTCTTTCAGCTGCGAAAGAAGGACACTTACACCTAGGTCAAGGTCTCTCAGTTATACCCCTCGGGGCTGGGAAGACAGAAGGGCTGATCCTGATGGCTGCCCTTTATTTCGTGTGGGTGTGTGCAGGCATTGTGCTTTGCATTCCTGCTGCATCCTTGCAAGAGGGCCCACTGTTTCTGTCACAGCACTTCATTTTCTTCCAGCTTACAGGATTTGCTCTTTCAGCTCATTCTATGCCTCGCACAGCTCCGGAGGGCACCTTTCCTGATGCATTTTGCTCTGGGGGTGCTTTCCCCAAAAGGGTCAGTGGGGGTGGTGGCGACCTGGGGAACTGTGTTCTGTGGAGGCTCTGGAGTGCAGGAATGCAGGTGGTGGTGGTGGTGGGGAGAATTTTGATCATTATTGTACCTCTGTGCCTGGAATGGTGCTGGACCCAAAGTAAACTTTGAATAAATATTTGTTGAAAGAATGAAAAAGAACCCCAAAAAGCTTGTTTCACTGGTGAAGAAGCAGAGGGTGACCGGGTTGAAGATGCACCCCAAGCTTCACGAGCTACTGCCCCTGCTGTGCCTGTTTGCAGCCTGCTTGCTCCAGTGGCTTTAGGAAACCGGGAATCTGGTCTGCATTGTCCATCTATCACGTACTAGCTTGGGAAATATTAATGGGCTTCCCTACATGGATCAGGCCTTCTGCTAGACTCTGGAGTGAAGTGACAAACTGTCATCTAGCTGTTGATTTAAATCAAATCGTGAATTAAATTGCACAATGTAAAGAAAAGGAGGCTCTTTGATTTTTGGAAGAAAAACCCCTAACCCAGTTGTGAGTAGCTGGAGTCTGCCGGACCCCCTCGGGCCTTCCCACCCCTGATTCTTCTCCTGCCGCCTCCCTTTTGTGAGTCTCTTCCCCTTTTTGCTTGCAGGGAGCTCTGCTCTCCTGTAGGCTACAATGTGTCAGTTGTTATAAAATCCTGGGGGCGGGGTCTAGTGACGAGGGCGCCGGGGGAGCTGCCAGCCCTGCAGGGCGAGCAGTCGGCCCTGAGTTCACCCGGCCTCAGCGCGGAGCAGGAAAACTTCCATTTCGCTCTCCTGGCTTTGATCCTCCTTGGACATCAGAGCCGAGGCGCCGAAGGGAGGGAGGATGCGAAATGAGTGGCGCTTTGGCAACCTGACCGTCTATCTCCTCAGCAGAGCCTTCCACAGCGAGCTGGGCGCTGGCTGCACCACCCAGACTCGCCGTGCGCGCGCGAGTGAGCGAGTGAGCGAGCGGGTGTGCGTGCGTGAGTGAAGAGTGTGGATGTGTGTGGATGGGTGTGTGCACATCACGACCGTGTGGGAGTGTGTCTGGATGACTGTATGCGTGTATGCGTGAGTGTGTGTGTGTGTGTGTGTGCACTCCCGCGCGTGTGTGGGAGTGCTCTTGGTTATTTTTTGGGAGAGAAGAAAAATCTTGGAAATCTGGGACAGGTTACCGGGTCCTACGGTGATTCTTTTGCAAGAAGAGCTTACTGGAGCGAGCTTTCAGAGCCATTTCTGTGTGGGTAAAGAGATTTTCCTCCCAGAAGAAGGATTTTTACCCAGCTCTGCAGCCCGGTAAGAGATCAGCCCCTAAACCTGGGAAATCGACCAGAGCCTGCCGTTCCCAGGGTTTGAGAAGGACTGGAGAAGAAAAGGAGAAATTAATCAAACAGCGTGTCAGTTCCTTCGGCCACATTGGAAGATGTCATCTCAAACTAAGTTCAAGAAAGACAAAGAGATCATTGCCGAATATGAAGCCCAAATAAAAGGTGAGAGGTGGCGGACTGTACCTTCTCCTCCCCGTCCCCTTTCTCTTACTCTGACCTTTTTTTCTCCTTTTTCCTCTTTCCTCCCTGACATCAAGAAACGTTGTTATGCATTAATAATTTTATTGTTAGAGGAACTGTGGCTGCCGCACAAGTCCGGGCTGGTTTCAGCTACAGATAGCGCCGTGCTGAGTGTGGAGCAGAGAAAGGGCAGCGGTCTCTGCATTGCAGGTGTGTGAGGAGGATCCTTCGCCTGACTTTGGGAGTGTCGTGGCTACTCCATCATCTTGGTGGCGACAAATCCTCTAAGGCCATTTTGGCTGTACTGCCTCCACCCCTTGCCTGCCATGGTCAAAAGCCCCTTCATTCAGATGTGTATTTTTTTCAGGCTGCTCCCCGCCCCCCTTTTGGTTTCTGTTGTTGTTGGTGGTTTTGCATGGGCCTCTTTCTCTGAGCTGGAATTCACACGCGTGTGTTCAGGAAGGCAGCATCCTTGGGCGGCCCTCTTTGTCGGTGTCTCCAGCCTGGCCTGGGTTGCCATGGATTAACTGTTACGGGCATATTGATCCAGAGTAATGCAGGCATTTAGGCAGCAAGAGAGCGTGCAGTGCAGAAAATGTATTATCTCGCCATGTGCAGCCCCGTCGTTCCGTGCTCCAGCCCTTAGGGTCAGCAGCTTTGGTTCCAAACCAACTGCTCAGTGTGCGTTAGGCGCTGTGGGTGCTGCCTGAGGGAAGCCTTGGGGAGAGTGAGATGACCTCTGGCAAGTGCTCCAGCTCTGTGACCACAGAGCACACATTTTTTTCTGGAGCTGCTCCCTAAAGGCATGCTGGCTGGGAGAAATAGGAAAAGGTGCACAATTGCACAGTGGAAGGCTGGTGGGCAGAATCTGCGCTCAACCTAGACAAGGGCTTCTCATGTCCTTCCTCGTTCTGGGCTCCAATTCAGCAGGGGCAGCCTCCAAGCCCTGTACTCTCCCTTCTCAGAGGATGTGCCCCAGGGAGAAGCCAGGGTGGGCTCATGGCATCTGTTCTCAGGTCATGGTTCTCTTTGCTGTGACGTGGGGTGTGTTGGGGTCTCTCCCATAGAGAGTAAAGACACCATACATCTTCCGCAGACATGGAGGCCTGGCTGTGAGCTGAGCTAGGAACTGTTGAGCTAGTTGGTTATGGGGGTGCAAGAGACCTGAGACTGCCACATCTGCTCCAGCTGGAGTCTAGGAAGTTGGGTGGCCTCCCTGGGAGGGAATGGAGGCCAGGCATCTCAGCTGCTGTCCAAGCGTCAGGCCGTGGGGAAACTTGGAGAGGAGAGCAGTTGCTGGGGGAGGCTTTGTTTTTGCCCCTATCTTGTCAAGTCTTTTTTCTTTTAGTTCTGATCAAACCTGGCAGCTAATCACTGCTGGGTAGACCTTACAAAAAAGACCAGAAAGTTCTTCTCTTCCCTGGTCCCATCCTCCTTAGGTTTCAGTTCAATGTCAAAAACAGGGACTAGGAATGTTTTGGCCTTGCTGAATTTTTAGAAACAAACCCTTTGGTGGTCACAGATTTAACTTCATTCAACTGCTCAAGACAAAAGCTTAGTTACAGTTTTTGAATATATAATTTTTTAGGGAGTTTGTGTTTTATAAGCCCATTTTGGCTGCTTTTGATATTTTTAAAATTGAGGTCCTCATGAAAAATACCGTAATGGAGAAGGGATATTGCGTTTCGGACAGTTGGGGTTTTATAAGTATTGTTTGGTAGGAAATGTGCTTAATTCATTTTTAAAAAATTGCTACTACTGGGCTAGTCAGCTCTACCTAAGGACCAGTTAAACATTAATTGTTCTGGCTGATTCTTTTATCTTTCACTTTTTACAGTCATGTTAACAACTAATTGGCAAATACCCCGTAGTGAATTTCATCAGGAAATTTGTCTAAATGATCTCGTGTTTTTTAGACTCTAAATTTCTCTGCATTGTGGTTGAAAGAGTTTAATTTTATTCCTTTAGAGCTGATACCCACAAGATTTGGGTCAGGATACTGCTGTACCTAAAACCTTCTGAAATTTTTGCTTTCAAAACTCTATTTGTTGAGCTGGGTGTAGCTCAGTGGGAGAGTCCTTGCCTACCATGTGCAAAGCCCTAGCTTCCATCTTTAGCAACGCAAAAAGAAAACAGATTCTATTTGCTAGTCACCATTGTAGCTACTGGTGTATGCACAGGGCTCTGCTGGCCTGAGACTTGGTCCCTGATACTGGTGTTCTCAGTTCACATGAAGTGCAGAAAGGGTGGTAGGATCCAGAGATGGAAAATGGAAGGCCACCCACATTCAACGACTTGCCCAAGTTCTCAAGGCCAGTATCCCCCCAGCCTAGTGACCCTGACGCATTGTTTGCCTGATGCTGTCCCTGTAAGATGGATGTCCATGGCAGATGGCAGAACAGGGCTGGGGACTGCTGCCTCTTGCTGGTGTCTATTGTTTACCCTTGAGTTCCCATCCCATTGCCTCTATTTCTTGTCCCTGAAGATTAGTTGACCAATGACTGACAATAATGCCAATGCCAACAATAATGTTGTCGGGTCAGCTGGTTGTGAAGAGTCTACCCAGATAGTTTTTGTATACCATGCATGAGAAGGAGACTTAGGAGGGGGGATTTCTGGTTTTTAAAAGTAATGTTGAGTTCTTTGCTGACTTATTCCTTTTCATTGCTTTGAAGTATTTACTGCTCTAACAAAAGAGAATGTTTTCAAGCAGTATTTTTTTTTTCTATTGTCAACATTTTTAGACTCACACCTTCTCTTGCCTCATCAGATATTTGAATGTTTGATTACCCACCAACAATGCAGTAGTAAACCATGTCTGCATGTTCCTAGTGACGGAGAGCTCACTGTCTCCCAAGCCTACATATTCTATCTTTGGATAGCTTGGGTTCATGGTTTTTTCCTTATTGCTAGTGTTGCATGTATATACATCTCTCATTTGCCTATTGGTTGTATCATTTTGTCCTCTCGGGACTTAGAACAAGACAGCTGCTGTTCCCCAGAGCTGCTCACTGGGTGTTGGGAGCCTGTTTATCACCCCCCAGTATGATTAACCTTCTTTGCTTACATAAGATGGTCCACTACCACTTACCATCCTCATTGTCTTCCAGATCTGCTGCATTTTGAGTTGCAAATTCAACATCTTTGGATGCCTGGCAGATAGAATAAATGAGTGAAGGTGGCCAGTGAGATGATAGCTGGCCAATGGCCACCACCTCACTGCGGGCAACAGAAGAGGTGGCAATGACTGTGGTGGACCTGATGTCCTGCCTAAAGGGGAAAGGACAGTCATACTTGAGTTCAGCCAGTTATTGCCACTTAGGTGTGTAAGCTGAGCCAGATCTTTCAGTTCTGCAACAGACATCCGAAATCCAAAGGGAGCTTTATGTTTTTAAAAATGTTTTACGACGACAACAACCCCTTGAAAGATCTACCAATATCTTATTCCAAGAGTGGCACTAAGTTCTAAAATGTGGTCAAAGAAAGAAAGCAATTGTCACCTCCTTCATGTTGTCTGTAACACTTTCACTAATGTACCCCAAGGGCTGAGTTAGCCCTTTTTGCTGCTCATCACACTCTATTTGCTGTATTTAGATATACAGCAGGTCGAGGGAGTGGCTGCTACACCTCAGAAAAAAAAATACAACCTCCTAGGCTGGGAGTCTTAGCAGTGAGGAAGATGAAGTGAATTTGTTCCTGGTGACCCCCTGCTGGCTCCATATGGATACTGCTTCCTGTCCAAGTGCTTGTCAGTGTCCTTTAGAAATCTGTGCAGGATCCTTGTCCGGGAGCAGCATCGCATTCTCCAGTTGGGAGTTGGCAAGCTGTAACTTCTTTCCCCGTGAAAATCAGAACAGCATTTGCCTGTCTCCCACTTTTTGGCCCCTATCCTATGCTCCACAATTCTGTCAAAGATCACTGGTGGTGCTTGGTGATCTCAACTGTAGGCGTTTTTAGTATCCTGGGCTGTAATTCATCTTGATGCCAGAGATAAGGGTTTATTTTGTCATTTATCCAGAGTTCCTATTTCCATTTCAATCTACGGAAAACTGAAATAGAAATACACTAATTGACTTAAGTGTTTTTAAAAATTGTACATCCATATTCATTTTAGATCATCTTTTTAAGAGCAAAAGTCTGCATTTAGGAGAAAAGCAGGTATTGAGGATGATCCCAGAGGTGACAGATTTAGTCATTCATTCATGCATTCATTCAACAAACATCCATTATCTACTTTGCAGCTAAGTGTTGTGAGAGAAGCAAAGTATCTGACGTGTTCTTCCCTTTTTAAAACTTTTCTTTGAATATGGTGATAAAACAAGAGAAGGAAGTAAAGAACCAAAGCACAGAACACTTCTGAGCATCAGAGTGAGCTCAGTCTTAGAAGGCTTGGATTCCCATGGATTTTCAACAGTATTAAACAAGAGGGGCAGGCAGGGGCAGGGACACTGGGGGAGTCATTGCTAGGGGGCTCCTGCTGCTCAGGTCCAGCTTGTGGCCAGGTAAAAATGTGAGCCCAGAATGGGTGGTTCTTTTGGTGTTTTAAGGGAACCTGAATTTTAAACAAAATTTCCTCATTTTTCAGTGGTGGGTCAAATTTTTAAAAATCCTATGCTGCCCAAACAAACATGTCAACAGAGTAGGGAACATTCTGTCCCTGTTGAGCTATCAATTTGCAGCTTCTGACCAGGAGCACCCTGGTGATGGTGCTGTTCATAGCTTGCAGGCAGCTATCTTGGTTACTGTGCGCTTACCTGGTCTTTCTTCCGTGTGTCTTCCTAGAGACTCACATCTCTCTTCCTCTTCTTATAAGAGCACTAATCCCATCACGAGAGTCCTGCCTTCAGGATCTGACCTAATCCTAGCCACTTCCTGGTGCCTCAGCTCCAAACGCCATGTCACTGGGAGGTTGGGGCCTTCAGCATATGTATTGTGGGGAAATACAACCACTCAACACCCATACTTCCTGTTTTATTGAGTGG